GAGCTCAAACCTGTTCACAAGCCTTAACGAGTTAAAAATTTTATAAATTCATACTTGCATGTGAGACTAAAGTTACAATTAAAATTTTAATTATACAATTATAAATACAATATAAATAAACATACTAAAAAAAGTCCATATTTTACTAAAATAATAATTCTATTACCACTATTATATAAATGTACTATTTATAGTTAACTATTAATTAAATTTATATTTTTTAAATATATAAATAGCATATTTCTCTTATTTTTTATACTTATTTTTATATTATTTAATATATAAATTATAAATATTAAACAAGCCGAGCTTTGAAATGTTTGGACTTGTTTATTAAAAATTTAACGAGCTTGACCTCAAACGCAAAAAAAAATTAACGAACCGAGTTCGAACGAGCTTTTACCGAGCTGAGCTCAAACTTGTTCACGAACGACTTTGTTCATTTGCAGCCCTAGTGATCATTCCTCAGCACTACTCTTTTAAAAAATATACGTATTTATTTTTTAAAAACAAATACAATAAAATAAAAAGATTATAATTATTAGATAAATATAATTTTTTTCATAAATGATATACATCGAAAACTCTACAAAATAAATAATTTGAATTATCAAAATAAGATTTATGATTGACCTAACATAACGGTCAAGTTCAAAATTAGATTTTAAAAAAGTTTATTCTAATAATGGCCCTGTTTGGCAAGTGAGTTTTTGACTCTTTTTTTGTTTGGCTAAAATTTATAAAAATACAAAATAGGTAAAAATAATTAATAAGACAAAATATCACATCAATCATTTCATTTTTTTTCTCACAAATATTACAGCTAACTATAAAAAAATCCGACCATCTTCCCAAATACAAAAATTTTAGCCTATTAAAATAGTCAAAAACTAAAATAACTAACTTCTCAAACGACGCCAATATATATCAAATTATCTGATAGAAATATCCATCCCAAGTCCACCCCTAGTCTAGATAATGTTCACTCGATAGACCCATCACTCAAAATTCAAAATCAAACGGTCAAGTCTAATCCCACTAAGGTGTGTCTAGTAATGTAGAAATTTTAAATGCAAGCCAAGCACCATATGCAGATTATTGCGATCTAAAATTGGAATTATTGACCTTATAGTTTCTACATATGTATAGAATTTAATTTATGGTCCTAGCGCACTTCCTTTCGACCCCAATTCCACACGTTAAAAGGAACCAAACAAAATTATGATGGAATCACACATAGGCAGACAATATTCACTTCGATAGACATGTCACTCAAAATTCAAAATCATGCGGTCAACTCTGATCCTACTAAGATATGTCCGGTAATGTAAAAATTTTAAGTGCAAGCCAAGCACCATATGCAGATTATTGACCAAGACTAAATTTCCTGACCTTAGACCCAGGACTTTGAGAGTCTTGACTAAGTCATATTGAGAAAGAAGTGCTCAACATTAACACAGCAGTGGTGACAAACTTTTCTCCCAACAGGGCTTTAGTTTGCAGTCATTTTCAATCTTTGTTTGACCATCTCCAATGATTCATTAAATATTTTATTAAATTTAAATTTGATAAAAAAAATTTATTTTTTATTGCTCCAATGACTTACTAAATCTTTCATCAAATTTAAAATTTCTCAAATCTTTCTTCAAATTAAGAATAGATGTATCTTTTATCAAATTACTGTTCATAATCGTTAGATTTTCACCTCTGAATGTCCACTGGATGTTCCTAGATGACCACCTCCAGATAAAAATTTGTAAAAAATTTACACTGACTGGTCGTCCTCCCGGTCAATCTCCCAGATGATTATCTCATGATAAAAATTTGTGCAAAATTTACACTGGCCGATCAACTGGCCGGAAATCCGTCCAGTGTACCGGTGTTCTAATAAAACTTCAAAAACTTCCGTTGAAGGTTTAAACACTGGCTGATCAATCAAAAAATTTTAAGAACACACTACATTAACTTGTATATATAGTATAGATATGGATTATGGAATTTGATTTTAAATTTATAAACAATTGAGAAAATGGGCCACACATACTGACATTCTGGGAATGTGTATCTACATTTCCTGACCTTAGACCCAGGACTTTGAGAGTCTTGACTGAGTCATATTGAGAGAGAAGTGCTCAACATTAACACAGCAGGGGTGGATTGGTTTGGGATGTTCTAAAAAAGTGCACTTTTTGATTTATTGACTTATATGAGTTGAGTTTGGGTTGAGTTTGATATAATGTGTTAGAGAGGTGATGTGATTTAAATAAGATGATGTGACTTAAATAGGATAGTGACTTTTTAACTTTTTGTATTATTTTATGCCAAACTAATCCTAACTTTTCTCCCAACAGAGCTTTAGTTTGCAGCCATTTCAATCTTGTTAGACCATCTCCAATGATTCATTAAATATTTTATTAAATTTAAATTTAATAAAAAAATTATTTTTTATTACTCCAGTAACTCACTAAATCTTTCATCAAATTTAGAATTTTTTAAATCTTTCATCAAATTAAGAATGGATGTATCTTTTATTCAATTACTATTCATAATCGTTGGATTTTTACTATCGAATGTACACCGGATGTCCCCGGATGACCACCTCAAGGAAAAAATTTATAAAAAATTTACACTAGCCAATTGTCCTCCCAGTCGACCCTCCAGATGACTACCTCAAGTTCAAAATTTTTTGCAAAATTTACACTAGCCGATCAACCGGCCAGGCATCCGTCCAGTCGACCAGTGTTCTAATGAAACTTTAAAAACTTTCTTTGAAGCATTTGATATCAAATGGACATTTTACTCAAATTTAATAAAAAATTTAATGCATAGTTGGAGATGCTCGTAGCTGTACATATTCGTTGGAATGGGAGAGGATGGAAAGAATAAGTCTTACCATGATTTTATCATTTTTAACTCAGAAAAGTTAAGTGCTCACAATTTACAATTGAATTTCAATCATTTTAGATTGTTTTTAGATTATAAATTTAAATAAAAATTTAGAAAAAAAAGGGAAAAGAATGTATATTTTATTCACATTTTTTTTTTTTGGTTTCTAAATCTTTGCTCAAATTTATGATCAAAACACAATCTTAATGTAATTTTTTATTTTATTTTCTGTGCATCCATCACTGCTGATCAAAAACTTCCGAGACAAGTCAAGTGGTGGCTCACTTTCGGAGTGAACAATTCTCTTAAGGGCTGTTTTCAGTTTAGAATCCAGTCCCTGATATTTATTTAACTTGTTGATTGTGTGGTGAATATTGAATGGGTATAGTGTGAGATTTATGTATATAATGAATATGAACAATGGATTGATATTTCTGAATAAAATTTATAGGTAGTATTGCTCAAACAATATAGTTGTTCATGGATTTTGAATTAGGCCTATACATGAGCCGGATTGGAATTGGATTTGGCAAAATCAAAATCGAATCTGATTAAGGCATAGTCTGAATCCTATATGAATCCTCCACTGTCATATCTGACATCAGCTCGTTAATCAGATTGATATCAGCTAATTTCGGATATCCGAACCCGATTCCATAACTTTCAAAAAAATATTGCATGCAAAATTTTGGACTAGAGTTTTAAGGAGATTCTCATCAATGAAGCCATGTATCTTTGTAATCCAAAACATTGCATAACAATACAAGTTAATACAAAATCAATTTCATGTAAAAAAACCACAACAACAAAAACAAAAGCATAAAAATGGAAACAAAGGCATTTCAAGCATCATATTTATATTTAACAAATGAGCCACTTCCACTGCCATGCCTGAAACAACAAAATTAAAAACACAGACAACTGTTGTTCCAACCCACATGCATGAAAAACATGGGAAGGCAACCAACTAAGTCAAGCTTGGCAGCCACCAACCATAGCAAAGGTCAAGAATGGAGGCTACCCAAGTCAAGAATGAAGGCTCTCCCACCTACTCTTTTTGTGTATAAATAGAGACGGGAGGGAGAGGATGTGATATATCAGAAATTGGAGAGTGAGAGCTGTGAGTTGAGTGTTAAAAACACAGACAACAACTATCAAATACCCAATCTATCACCTTATCTAAGAATTGGAAATACGCATGTCTCCATGAACTTTTCAAAACCAAACTGCCACAAACAGCCCAAAATCCCACAACAAATCCAACTACAATGCTAGTGTAGAACCATAGCCTATCAAACTTCTCTTCATCTTCATCTTTATCCTTCTTTTCACTGTCTTGGTCTTCTACATCACCGTGATTTGGGGTTGGGCACTTTGTCGTCAATGGTAACCCACAAAGCTCAAGATTTTCAACGTAAATGGATGGATCATTGAAGGTTTGGAACTGGTTGGTCAGGGAATTGGTCCAGACAAGTTGTTATGCGATAGGTTCAAATAGCTCAGTGAAGTTATAGAAGCCATGCTCGGAGGAATTGGACCTGAAAGATGGTTCCATGAGAGGTCAAGAGCTTCTAATTGTTGTAACCTTCCAATATTCTCTGGTATCTTTCCTGTCAATTCATCCCTCGATAAATTTAAGGCCCCTAAGGACGAAAGATTTGTTATTTCATCCAGGATCTCTCCCCATAGTTTGTTGCTCGAAAAGTCGATAATATTTACAATGCCGAGAATATTGATAATTTTCATATTTCGCCCCTTCACAACCAATTCCATTTGGTTGGCATGCGTCCCTTTTGTAGAAGGTGGTAGTCCGTTATAAGGTGTGAAAGTACTCAAACGAACCAAATTGCCTAGGCATGGTGGGAGGGGTCCTGATAAATTATTATGAGCGAGGTCCAAGATATGGAGATAAGGAAGACGACAAAGTTGTTTTGGAATGTTTCCACTGAACATGTCGCCATGTATGCGTAGCTCATGCAGCAATGAATGGCTTTCTCCAATGGAATTTGGTATTTCCCTAGAAAATTTGTTGTCTCCAAGGTCAAGTGCTTGCAAGCTTGTGCAGTTCACCAAGGATGAAAAGATTTTGCCATGGAGACGGTTGGTGCTCAATTTTAGGCTATCAAGCTTGGAAATTTGCCAACTAGATTGTTGTTCGATAGATCTATGATGCCAGTTTGTTGCATATTGGTCCAATTTCTAGGAAGTTCCCCAGAAAAAAGATTGTTTGATAGATCTATAGCTTCCAAATTCTTCATTTCAACAATGGATGATGAGATGTTACCACTAAGAAAGTTCTCAAAAAGATAAAGAGCTCTCAAGTTTGGCATCTCAATGTTGATTTTTTCAGGGATTGGTCCTGAAAGTGAATTGTTCCCCAAATGAAGAACTGATAAATTATGCCATAATGGGAATTGGCCCTCTAACCAGTTGAAACTCAAATCCACCAAAGCAAATGGGCTAAATTCCAACGTGTTGGGAATTAAACCATGGACTTGATTATGAGAAAGATCGAACCAATCAAGCTGTGGAGACAATTTCCAAAGCCAATCAGGCATTGTGTCTGCAATCGAAACATTTATGAGGCTTATGAAAGAAAGCTCTCTCTGAGTTCTTAGCCATAACGGAAACTTAGGACCCAATGGACAATCACTGATGTAAATGGATTTTAGACTAAAAAGAGGAATCCATTCATGTTTGAGATAAAAAACAAGAGTTTTAAATGAAAATGAGACAGAGAAATATTTTAATTTCTTAAGACCCTCCAAATGATTTTGTGATAAGACCCCTTCCCAAGAATTTTGGTAGAGTTCAAGGTGAGTTAGTTCCATGAGTTTCCCCAAACTTGCCGGGATAGACCCATTCATTTTATTGTAAGACAAATCCAATTCCTTCAGGAGAAATAATTTTTCGACAGCTTTAGGAACCGGTCCTGAGATTAAGTTCCCTTTAAAAACAAGGGACCTTAAACGCTTAAGGCGCCCAAGTGAATTAGGCAGTTGCCCACTTAATTCATTGTTCCGCAACCTAAGTTCCTTCAAACTACTGTTATTGCATCTGGACAATCCCTTTATGAGATCACTTACCTCACCGCTAATTTTATTCACAGACAGATCCAAAATTTGCAAGTTACAATGGTTGCCAAACTTGAAATGGCCTATTGGAACTCCAAAAAAATTTGCGCTCAGATCAATGTTCACAAGGGTGCTGATATTAAACAACCACTGAGGCAATGTGGAGTTGAATTTGTTGAAGGAGAGATCGAGGACTAAAAGGGAAGTGAGATTCAAATTTGGTACAAAGGGAGGAAATTTGTGAAGTTCAGAATCGGCCAAATGCAACTCGGATAGAGAAGGAATTATGTTAACAGCTTGCAACCAAGTAGTTGATTCACTGAGGTTCACACCCTCTAGATTGAGATACTTCAAAGAAGTGAGACCGGAGAGCCAGCTCAATTCTGAAACCCAGTTGCTACCGGGATTTAAGTATGCAGAGAGATCAAGATAATGCAAGTTTGACAAGTTTCCAAGATGGGGTGGTACCATTGCACTAAAAGATGCTTGAGAAAGATTGAGGTAATTTAGTTTCTTAAAAGAGCCTAAAAATGTTGGGATTGGAATTTTGCGAAAATTGTTCATGCTTAGATCCAAATAACTCAAATGTTTTAAGTCGAGCAAAGATGAACTTATCTCACCACCCAAGCATGATGTGCCATAAACATCTCCATTGTTTTTGAGGTCGAGCATTTCAACGTTGCCAGTCTGTTTGTTGCAGCTTATGCCTTTCCACGAGCAGCAATCGTCGCCAACCCAAGAAAAAAGCTTCATTGATGGATCTATGAGGCCTTCTTTGAATTTGATGAGGGTTGTTCTCTCAAATTCAATGTATTGTGTGCTACCACTAGCATTGGCATTGAATGCATTGGCTTTGAGAGGCAAGTTTGGAAAACAAAAGAAAAAACAGAAGAACTGCGAGAAGGGAGGTACTTCACTTAGTCATGCTTACTTCAATTAGCTATTGAAAGTAAGATACAAGGATTAAAGGCTTGGATGGGTTGCAATTTCTAATAGATTTGGTGAACACAACTTTTATGCGTGGCATGAACTTGAGATGGTGTTAGGACATGTTATTTATAGAACACTAAAAAAAGTGGACCGATAGTTTATCAAGCAATTATTTAGTAGTTTTGGAGTATTATCATAATATGTGTATGCAATACTTTTGACTAAAGAGACTAGAAAAGGAGATGAATGGAGCCGATCTTATTTCCCATACAATGTTAATGTTAGTTGATACTCTGATATTATTGAATTTCAATGGCTGTATGGTCCGAGATGGTGTTGTATAAAGGGTACACAAGTGTCGTGTATTCCTTTCTTTTTTTTTTGCATCCATGTAAGATGTCCAAATGGAAATTTTCGACACAACTCGAATCATACACCAAATTAGCAAGTTAGGGTTAAACCCTTTTCTAACACAACAAGAATATAACACAAAATTAACATGGATAGCACATTTAATAGTTATATATTTTAATGTTATTTCTATTAAGGAGTTCCATTATATTTTTTAGTACCTTTTGTTATTCCATCTAGCTGAATAAAAAGCACGTAAAACATAATTTTAAGGCTAATGTAATTTTTTTTATTTTTTATTTAAGATAACGTATTTTTTGTCACCTATTTTAGAGTCAATCTATTAAAATATATATATAATAATATGGTAGAGTATTTTAAATTGGAGAAATGGAATTGAGTCAAAGTCAAATATTTTATACATAATTTCATCTAGTAGAAATTAGTTTCACAAAATTTAAATTGTGGGGAAAAAAAAAATTTCATCACACTTGGTATTTTTAATAAAGGATGAATTTTTTTTAATATGACATGTTAATAAGACACAAGCCAAACACATGACACAACATGATTATACCAAAATATAAATTAATTAAATTAATATTGAGATAATTTTAACACGAATCTGCAACACAAATACTAAAATGACAAGACACGAATAAGACCAACACAACACAATATTGCTCACTCCAAGAGACCTGTTACGCAAAATACAAAATCATACGACCTATCTAGTAGTATAGAAATCGTAAGAGGAAGCCTTGGCACCGTATGAAGATTATTGTGATCTAAAATTGACCTTAGTTTCTAACTCACTTTCTACACCCATTCTACAGCATAAGAACCAATCAAAATTAATGAGGATTCACACAAAACGAAATTGATTTTTCTTTCTAAGTGCCCCTTGTTTATTTTTTTTCTTTTTGCCGACATAAAAACTAATCATAAAATCAAATAAAGAACAAATAAGAATTCAACAAGATTTTATAAGATTTGTGAATAAAGTCCACTTTTCATCATAGCAGTTCCTAATAGAAAGTAATGTTTTCATCATTTCTCAAGTCTCCCGTGTCGACTGGGCTAGGCGATTGGCTAGAACACCTGTAGACGTCAATCTTTATTTATCGAAAAATAAAGGTGATGCAGTGTCTCAGTTAAAATACTCCCAAATCATTGGAAGCCTGATGTACCTAATGAATTGTATTCGTCCTGATATAGCTTATGCTATCAGTAAATTGAGTAGGTACACTAGTAACCCCGGAGAAGACCATTGGAAAGCGATCATTCGGGTTCTTAGATATCTAAGATTCACCCGTGACTTTACTCGATATCCAGCAGTATTTGAAGGTTATTGTGATGCAAATTAGATATCGGATACTAAAGATTCAAAATCCACAAGTGGATATGTCTTTACTCTAGGAGGCGCTGCTGTTTTTTGAAAATCCACGAAACAAACTTGCATCGCACGATCCACAATGGAATCTGAGTTCATTGCTTTGGACAAAGCAGGAGAAGAAGCAGAATGGCTTCGTCACTTCTTAGAAGACATTCCAATGTGGCCAAAACCTGTGCCAGCTATTTGCATTCATTGTGATAGTCAATCTGCAATAGGCAGGGCACAGAATCATATGTATAATGGTAAGTCACGACATATTCGTCGTCGACATAATACCGTAAGGCAATTGTTGTCAAACGGAATAATCTCAATAGATTATATAAAATCTAAAGAGAATATTGCGGATCCGTTAACAAAAGGTTTGACAAAAGAGCTAGTGTATAGTTCATCAAAGGGGATGGGATTAAAGCCTATTACATAAAAGTCGTCATAATGGTAACCCACAAGATATTGTTATGTTTGTTTACTTAGAAGTAAAGATGAAGCCTTAGAAATGTTTAAACTCTACAAAACAGAAGTTGAAAATCAACTTGGTAAAACCATTAAAATGGTTAGAAGTGATAGGGGTGGTGAATATGATGCACCATTAAATGAATATCGTGCACAACATGGCATTATTCACCAAACTACAGCACCCTATTCTCCACAGCAAAATGGAATTGCTGAAAGAAAGAATAGAACCTAAGCCCGTAATCATTTAATAAAAAAAATTAAAATACCTCTGTATATAAATAACATGAGTTTGTGAATTACGAATATTTTCATCTTTTGTTTGGGAGACAAAATGTAAGTGTTGAACTGGTGCCGGTTCTATGAGAATGAAGAGGCTAAATTCTCTAGAAACACTTATGAAAACCAGGTGCGTTCAAGGCCAAAATGAACACAACAGTGAGAACCACGATGTGTTAGAAGATATTTTGTGTGAAATCTGTTGTCTTGGCTTACACAAACGGCTGAACAATTCAAGGCATCGCGTCCATTGGTTAGCCAGTAAGTCCGATAGGTTATCACTAGGGAAGGTTCAAGGCCGAAAACTACCTATCCTGATGCAAGATATTTTCGACTTATACTCTTTCGTTTAAGTCTGCATATTGTTGCATTTCCGTTGTCATCAAATTCCATTCATGTGGGGGATTGTTGGAAATGGTAGAAAAAAACTGGGTAAAACCAGAATTTTTTCTCAAGTTTGGTCTATTTTTTAGGTGGGCCCCGATCGTCGATTTACTCGGGTCAAAGTGGTAATGCGTTCTATGCCGCGTTGTGATTCACGTGGTATATTTGGTTGCTTAAAACCATTACCGAGTGAATAGGAAATTGAAGCCAAAGTGTGCTCCATGGAAATGGAGTTATTCAAATGTTTTTGGCCCAAAAAGATTAGTATGGGGCCGAACAAGCCCAACCCAACCACACACCACGCACCCGCGCCAAATGGGTTTGGTACTTGGGGTGTGCCCCAAGGGGTACCCAAGTGTTTTAGAGGGAGAGGTTATGGGCAAAATGGGCTAGACCCATTGGACCCAAAAATCACCACACACGCGCGCGCCGCTGTCCGTCCGCCGGGCCTGGGCCTGGGCTTGGACGCGGGTGCGTGGTGTGTGGTGTGTGGTTGGGTTGGGCTTGTTCGGCCCAATACTAATCTTTTTGGGCCAAAAACATTTGAATTTATTTTTATTTTTTGGTAAAATAAAATCCATAATTCAAATTAACTGGAAATAATCTAGTTCGGTTTTTTCTGTATATCCAAACAGGGCCCTTCCGTTTTTTGAACCCAACAGCTCTAAATCTGTTTGAATTTCAAACCAAACAGTGCCTAAACAGTTTCTATCTGTTGAATTCAAATTGAACAGGTACAGTACTTGTTTAATTCAAAATGGAAAACCACCAATCCATCTATAAATAGACTAAGCCCCCCATTTGGAAGATACTCCAATTTTCGTACTCCATCTTCTGCTATAAATTTATTCTTCATTTTGCATTTAGTTCTTGTTACAGAGAGTATAAACACTTAGTGTGTTCGACGAACGAATAAATTGTAGTGCTACTTTTATTTGTTGATAAATCATTTTATCCTGGGAGATAGACGTCCAGATTCTGAAAGCACCGTGGAGAGGACGAGTCTGCCTTAAGGACACAGTGTTAAACACTGGACTTGATCAGATAGTTATTCAAAAGAAATTAACCAAGTAAGTTGTTTAATTTTTATTCCGATTTTAATTTTGTTTATTTAATCAGATTTTAATTTTGTTTTTGTAACAAAATAAAATCTGTTTTTTATTTATTTTTTTTTTATTTCGAGTTTGATTTTTGTAATCAAACAAATTCTCTCCTTTTCTTTATTTCTTTATATTCTTGTTGTTGTTTTGTACACAACAGAATTTAATCTATTTAAATACAGTGAAGATTGTACAACATTTTCTACTCTTGTGAATAAGAGAGGCACAAATATGAATATTGAATTTAACAATTTAAAAAAAAATTAGGATTCAAATAGGGGAGGAACGTGATAAATATAAATAAGTTCCACATTTTTATTTGTTATAGATATAAACTTAAGGTACAAGGATATAGGAAGCATCAACAGATATGTTGGTGTATTTTGTTTTCCCTTACTTTTCTTTTTCTTTTTTTGTTTTCATGTATTTTATTTTGACCCCAAATTAGCTTTTTTTTTTCTTAAAAAAAAAAAAAAAAAAAAACTTACAAACGTAGGCGTGTCCAAAAAATTTACAAGTCATGTGACGTGTCTAACATATGAACTGTGGGGAAGTGGTTTTAGGAAATACTCTTCTGATCTTGGGGGACGCTCGTGATCCACCGATAGGCACCTGAAATGAAGTAAACACTCCGGTCGAGGTTGCAGGAATTAGCACTCCGATGGACAAGTCAGTCTTGTTCTAGATTACTTGTATTCTAAGTTAAACACCACAATTATCACATACCTTTCTCAGTCTGCTATTCCTTTATTTATACTCGTTCCCTGGGCCTCAGGGCCAGGTCCACTTTTCGCTCATTATGTTCATATTTATTCGGCTCCATAGCTTAGTACCTATTCGGTCCATCTACCCTTTATATTCGA